TAATACCTGGTAAGCTGACATATACTAAGGGGGGTTATTCACTTCACTTAGCTACCGAAGGCAGCCGGGTGAATAACTGAGCAGAAGTGAAGTGAGCCGAAAGCAGTTCGGCTATTCACATGAGCCTTGTACGGCTGATTTCAGCCGTACATCGGCTAAAATCAGCCGTACATCTCCTGCCTTTAGTCAGCCGAACAAGCTCTGTATGTTCGGCTGAGCCGAAGTGCAGAAGGAGTTCGACTCAGCCAATTCAACATCTGGATAGGCTGAGCCAAAGCTCCGGCAGCTCACTTGCTGAATAGCTGAATGCCGCTGAGTGTATGTCTATGCCTAGACATACACTTTAATGGTTCGTACTCTAAATGGTCGGAAGCTGTGTCTGAAGTGGTGTACCCCAGGATTCCATTTTGGGACCATTAAAATTTAAACTGTTTAAAAACAACATAGAATTTTGATAAAAAAATGTTTTTCTGTGAACAAAGCTCATGTAGTGGGATAATATTTGCCAGCCTACAAGATGTCTTTAACTTACAAACTACATGAATGCACTGTTTGATTGGTATATTGGTAGCCCATTTATAGTAACTGTGCTGCCTTAAAGTGACACTAAACTCAGGAGTTAAATCTTAAAAATGCATTCAAGTACTTCAACTATTAACATAACTGGACCTTATCTGGCTGAAGATCTTGAAATCATCTCTGAATTCATGCTGACACTTTCCTTCCTTCTGGGGGGTGACTACTTTTGTTACCCATGGTCCCTGTATGTGTTGTATGTGTTGTAAAGTAGCCACCGCTCCAAGCTAGCTCTCATGGTGGACTATATTGTCAAATTTAGTTTACTAATTTGTATTGAGATTGTAGTCCATCACAGGAGCGAGCTTAGAGTGGTGACTACTTTGCAACATACACAGGGACCATGGGGAACAAAAGTAGCCACCCTTCAGAGGAAGGACAGTGTCAGCATAGATTCAGAGGTGATTTGAGGCTCTAAAGCTGAGTGATACACAAATGAGCTACATTTTGGTCAATAGTGAAAGTACTTGAATGGATTTTTAAGATTTAGCTCCTACGTTTAGTGTTCCTTTAACACAACAAATGTTAACACAACAAATGGCTATAGTAATAATCAAAGGAAAGTTCCTCCAAGCAGTTACAAATAATTCTTGGTATGGATGCTTTTATGTGTGTACTTATAATGTTCTGATACGTTCTCAATTATAGGGCTAATCTTCTTTCTAATAGATGTAAAAGCATTTACTCACTTTATGATCTGCCTTATGGCCAAACGGAGATTTTATACAGCTGCTTAGATCTTTCGTCTTGTAGATGAATTCCTCAGAAACATTATAAGTAACTTGACATCTTCCTGAAACATCTTCCTGAATAAGTACACATAAAGATGAGTGAGCGGTATTAGAAGCTTCCCTGAACACGTGTTTTTTTCATGTGAAATGCATACTTGGTCATGGCATTGTACTCATCTCCTTCTATATATCAAGAACAGGAAGAATCACAACATATCTGCTGCACCTATACCTAGCAACATGTAACACTAGAAACAAAAGACTACTATTAAAGACCTCTCTGTAACTAAATAACAAAAGGACGACCTGACATAGAAGTGCAGATGTTTCACCAACAATGATGGATGGTAAGACATCTGTCTGTACTAGATGCATGGTCATGCTGCTAGGTTCAATCATTTCTTTTATCTGACTAAGCCAGCAAGCGTTATCAGCGCATGAGTAGTGAAAATCTTTTTTTTTTTTAATCTCCACAGAAAATGCACAGATATTTTCACACATGTCTCTACACATGCACTACACATCCCAATTAGTGCTCAGTAAGGCTTGCAGGGTGTGGGCCATATAACACCACCTTTATAGTTAGCATTGGACAAATTAAACCACCAATCCACAGTAGGATGGATGCAAAACAAGAAGAAAGGGAGAAAAACTTCACACTTTTATGTAAACAAAATTAAGAGGATCACCTAACCATAGAGGGCCTGTGCTAAAACCTAATGGTCCCTGTAATAAAACAAGGTATTTCCTTAATGATTGTTATGTGTTGGATGGGCTACCAAATGTTATTTCAGTAATGGCCAAGTATTAGACATCTCCAAAACAGGTCTCTGAGTCTGCCCACTGTGTTTTTTTTTTTTTTACTGAATTACAGGCAATAAAATCCAGCTCAGCTGTGCCCCCTCCCATCAGTGACCTGGCAGCCTTCTATTCCCTAAAGTATACATAAAGCAGGCGCTCAGGGGAAGGAGGCAAGAGTAAGCTATGCTGCGGATATAATAACTTGTGAGACAATATAGGGTGAGCTAAGCTGCTGAAAGAATGACATGAACAACTTTAGCGCTACTACTCAGAATTTAGGGATGAATTGCTCCACATACCTGCAGCTACACAGGTCAGTCAGTGCTTGTTTAAAGCTTATTTGCTCATTGTTAGGAATATGTAAATATGTAAATACATAAATGCCCATAGCCTTACCACAATTACAATGTACATTCAACTTTATGCACACCATTTTAACCAAAAAGAAGCAAATCATTAAACATTGTTGATATTAGGTTTGTATTGTTTAAATTATCACAGGGGAACCTCAGCTTTATGATAGGCTGTCTGCACACTTGCAGTGTAGTCCCTACTCCATCCTAGACATGGTCTTATTCAAGCAGAATGCTTTTAAGTGTTAAATCTTAAGTGCAGTAACAAGCCAAAAAGAATTACTGAGCCAAGAGGTTACTGTGAGGCACTGCAGTTGAGAATCAGCTCGTAAGAAAAAGAACCCTTTACTGAAACAGCCAGTTGAAATCTTGTATAACTGTATTTATCATTGCAGAGCATGAAGGGGGCATAGATGAGCTTCTTATTGCACTGGTGCCTCTGGCAAAATTGGAGTAGTGTGTGACACCATCTGCACCGGAGCCTGAGGCTGTGGGGGGCCCAGTGAGGTCCGGTCCGCTGTTAGAACACTGGGGCCCCGCACTGACTATGGACTTCTCAGCGAGGGGGCAGGTCCTGTGACTCACCCCTCCTCTCCCGGCCGCATCCCTAGTAACAGGCGGCAGGAGAGGAGAAGTGAGTGTGTGTCAAACGCCCTGCCCCCTGCACACCCCGTCTGTCTAAAATGCGGATTGTGCTGTTATTTCATTTAATTAGAAAAGTGGATTATAATGGGGAACATTGCACTGTAATGTTCCCTATTAAAATCTATTTCTCTAATTAAATGATTACAGACAGGGCCTCTTTTCTATCAAAGTTTGTGACTACGTTAGAATGTGTGACCGGTGACGCGGTCACACATTTTAACGTAATCCCGCCCAGTTTTTCGGCGGTGGAATGTGTGCCCGACGATAGGTGAAGAATTCCAACGCTTTGTCAGCTGTTCCAGGGCAGATCGGCATCGCAGATGGTATGTGCAGGAGAACTGATCTGACCTGGAACAGCTGTTCGGTCCTGAAATGTCACTTCTATCCGACTTTGTGAGTGGGGTGGAATGTGAGATAGCAGTCACAAAGCCCACCGGGGACCCTGCAGAGCCCACCATAGAGAGTCTCAGGTGGGCTATGCAGGATCTATGGTGTGCTCTGATGGGTCTCCTCAAGTAAGTCCAGATTCCAGTGTGCTACTGCTCCGCGCCCCTGTCTTGGGAGGGGGGCCCAAGATAAAGTCTTGCACCAGGGCCCTTTGGCTATTAGGTCCGCCACTGTCAGCGCCACAACATTTTTCAATCAACTATTGTCAAATGAGCTGGTCTAAAAATTCTTGAATAAACAGTGACTGCAGCCAATCAGTCAATGACAGAAGGGGTGGACTGTACTGGGTGTTTGCATGTCCCTTTGTGGTCCCAAAACATTGGCTATAAGACCTATATGACACAATAGAAATAAAAAAAACATGTTTGCATATTTAAATAGTGCTAGTGACCCTTCCTCTTTTTCCTGTAATTAGGAATGAGGTTGGAAATTAAAGTAGAAGAATTTGTCCAAATCCCAAGTTCTAGTTACTATAACAAATCTCTTGTGTTAGAAGAGCAGGTAAGGATCCAGAGAAGTCGTTTACATATCTATAGGGGGAGGATGGCAGTTAAGTTCCACATAATCCCCTCCGCAAAGACCCAGTCAACTTTCTTAAGCAGTGGAGGTAGAGAAGAACCCAAGAGTTAAATCTCGAAAATGCATTCAAGTACCTTAAGTTTTAACAAAAATGTATCTTATTAATGTATCACTCGGCTGTAGATTTTCAAATCATCTGTAACTTCATACCGACACTGTCCTTCCTCTTGGAAGGTGGCTACTTTTGTTCCCCATGGTCCCTGTGTGTGTTGCAAAGTAGCCACCCCTCCAAGCTCACTCCCGTGATGGACTACAATTTCACGTTTAGTTTACCAATTTGTTTTGAAATTGTAGTCTATCACGAGAGTGAGCTTGGAGCGGTGCCTACTTTACAACACACACAGGGACCATGGGGAACAAAAGTAGCCACCCTACAGAAGGAAGGACAGTGTCAGCGCCAATTCAAGAGATGATTTGAGGATCTACAGCTGAGTGATACACACATAAGATACATTTTTGTTAATAGCTTAGGTACTTGAATGCATTTTTAAGATTTACCTCCTGAGTTTAGTGTTACGTTAAAGCATCAAGCCAATGGGTAGATAAATAGTAGCATATTTAACATGCTGCAATAATAAATGTAATATATCCAAAAATCCTGTTAATATTAGAAAAAATATTACACCACAAATATGCAGAACATTTACAATGAAGTCGAAATATCAGTGGAAAGGTTAATAAAAAAAAAATACATCCCAAATATAACAATAATCATAGAAGATGGAGATCACCAGCCCTCAGTCAAAAGCATTTAATTATTTTGCTTATTTATTGAAGAAACATGTCACAAGCATCATTTAGCCAATGTTTTGGAGCCACACAGGGTCCTTTCTTTAGGACGACATAGTAGGTGTCACTGTGTCGCCGTGAAGAAAGGACACTGAAGAAGGGACACTGTGTGACCCCCGAAACATTGGCTAAATTACGCTTGTGACATGTTTCTTCAATAAATAAGCAACAGAATCCAATGCTTTTGACTGAGTGCTAGTGATCTCCGTCTTCTACAATTTTGGAAAACACGGCACCATCCATGCAATTACTACGAGCACCACGACCGTTAAACGAGGTCCAATCGCTGTAGGGAGTGCAGGTGAAGCTGAACAGGTTCAATACAAGCATAGTGAATACAGTAAAACCATGTTTTGGATATAAGGCCTCTCTGGAGATATCTCCCTTAAAGTACCATAACAAGGCACTGTAAACTGTAAGATTACCTCTGAATAAATCCCTGGTTGAGGCTGAAACTGGAACAGACTGACAAGTCCCCTTTTTAAATCCAACACTTGCTTGTTGTTTTCCTCTGTACTGTACAAGCTAATCACCTGAAAAATATTATGTACCATCACTGCTTTACATTTATATCAATAATACATGAATTTAAATTGACTCTATAATTCAAAACAGTTTTTAACGATGACAGTGTGAACATGAACAGTATGCATACTTCCCAACTGTCCCTCATGTGGAGAAACTGTCCCTCTTTTGAAAGCAAGTCCCCCTGTCCCTCTTTCCACCTTAATTGTCCATCTTTTTGATCTACTGTGCAGCTATCTATAAAGAAAGGTACTATTTAATCACCAAAAGTGGTATTCTGCACTAAAACATTAATCGTATCTCTTAATTATGTTGTTTGCTCTCTTGGAAAGACAGTAAAAGGGAAAAAAACAATTCTGGGTTTAACCAATCATTTTTGGCAACTACAGTAAATTCTGAATGGTCGGAACAAATGGGGGCATGGCAGGGGTGCATCCATCGTCTAAATACATTGTTCCCAGAAAGTTAGACAGTATGAGTATGTCAAGGCTTGCAGGGTAGTACTTTGGGGGGCCGTATCTAATATTCATGTAGATTCCCCATCTTTGATAGTGGGTGCATCCCAAGGATGCACTTCCATTAAAATAATTTTTCCAATTGAGAATCCATCTCTGACCTGGGGTAACTAAGTTGTTCTGAACGAACATTTAGTCACAGGGGTAAAGAGGAATGGTTTTCACGGTTATGTCCACTATCCTTCAATGGAGAATAACCCCTTTGTTTATGTTTGGAATTTTGGCGGTGATGACATATATATACACATTCTTATATAAGAAGGTTCTGCTGTACTGTAGCTTCAACAAAGAAAAGCTTGGTAAAGAGACAGCAAGGTACTGCAAGCCCTTCTCATATAAGTGTGCAGCTGCCATCTAGTGATCAAATAAACTTTGCACATTCTGTAAAGGGCAGCAGCTGTCTTCAAGAGAACAAGAAAAAGTCCTCTATGTTCTCGAATGAGTCATCATTGTAAATGTAATCCAACGGAAAGGTGAAAAAATGTATACCGTTCAATTATGTTTTATACACATAAAATCAGCATTATTGGTATACAGTATTTGTGGCTACTGTATAATCTGAAAGTGATTGACAGCTGCTATAATTTTATAAGTGTATGTTTATATATTGAAGCAATTTCTCCACTTTAAATAAAGAACTGCTTTTTAACATTCTTTCTGGGGAATCCCAGTCTTAGTCCACAGGGTTCAATGTTGAGTTGACCCACCCTTTGCCGCTATAACAACTTCAACTCTTCTGGGAAGGCTGTCCACAAGGTTTAGGAGTGTGTCTATGGGAATGGTTGACCATTCTTCCAGGAGCGCATTTGTGAGGTCAGGTACTGATGTTGGTTGAGAAGGCCAGGCTCACAGTCTCCGCTCTAATTAATCCCAATATTCTATTAAGTTGAGGTCAGGACTCTGTGCAAGCCAGTCAAGTTCCTCCACCCCAAACTCGCTCATCCATGTCTTCATGGACCTTGCTTTGTGCACTGTTGCGCAGCCATGTTGGAACAGGAAGGGGCCATCCCCAAACTGTTCCCACAAAGTTGGGAGCATGAAATTGTCCAAGATGTCTTGGTATACTGATGCCTTAAGAGTTCCCTTCACTGAAACTAAGGGGCCGAGCCCAACCCCTGAAAAACAACCCCACACCATAATCCCCCCTCCACCAAACTTTACACTTGGCACAATGCAGTCAGGAGAAGCGTGATTCATCACTCCAGAGAACACGTCTCCACTTCTCTAGAGTCCAGTGGTGGCGTGCTTTACACCACTGCATCCGACGCTTTGCATTGCACTTGGTAATGTAAGGCTTCGATGCAGCTGCTCTGCCTTTGAAACCCATTCCATGAAGCTCACTATTGTTGTTGTGCCAATCTGAAGGACACATGAAGTTTGGAGGTCTGTAGCTATTGCCTCTGCAGACGGTTGGCGACTTCTGTGCACTGTACGCTTCAGCATGCGCTGACCCCGGTCTGTCATTTTATGTGGCCTACCGCTTCGTGGCTGAGTTGGTGTTGTTCCCAGTTGCTTCCAGTTTGTTATAATACCACTAAGAGTTAACCGTGGAATATTTAGTAGCAAGGAAATCTCACGGAATACCTAAATCAAATGATTTGGAGGAGTGTCCCAATACTTTTGGCAATATAATGTGTATATATATATATATATATATACACACACATATGGTTATTTTTATACATAAGAAACATTTATAAATTGTACAAATATAAAAATGTATCTTATTTATGTTTTCTTTAAGAGGTTTTGGTCCTGTCGCACTTTCTCTTTGTTTCTTCTTCTTTGTTTCTTCGATACAGTGATGTACAGTGTGATCAGACCCTGCTGTAATATATTGTAAGTAAATGTGTGCTGGGCACAGGAGGAATCAGGATTAACAGGATCTGCTGTGCTGTGACTCGAAGGAGGGAAAGCAGACACAGATCACTGATGACAAGGACTATTGCGGGTTTGTGCCTGTTCACTGAGCAGCCGAAATAAGAAATGTAAAATGCATTTTTACTGTGATAAATCACAGTGCATGTTGTATTTTTAGATGTCTTTTATATTTTATAACCATTAACTATACCAATGGGAAAAAAATGTATATATGTATATATAAAGTATATAGTGTATGACACGTTTTTTTAAATCTCTGTGACTGGCAATCAGTCTGTGGAATCTAGTGCTGGGAATTTTCTGATTCTTGAGGGATAAGGAAATGCATGGCCATATTTTGGTGGGGGGGATACAGGAACAGCGCAGAAGCCATCAGTGAGGAGAATGGACTGAGAAAGGGTTAATGAACATAAATTAGAAGTGCAGAAACTGTACTCTAGTGGGTTATTGTATATTTTTTGGCAGTGCCCAAGAGCCTCTGGGCACAAAATTAGGCTCCTTAGTACTTAGGACAGTCCTGGGGGATGTTGGTGAGAATTCTGTTTTCTTTGATCTCAGATTTTTTTTTTCTCAGAACATAGCCCCCTTTTATTTTCACTTACCATAAGTGGTCAACAAATCCCATCCATCCTGGGAAGCAAAACACACGGATTGGTGACCATATAATATTTATTTTTATTGACTGACTAGCCGTACTTAATTACTGTCTGTTAACTGCAACAATGACCACAATAGCTTCCATGCTGAATTTCCTCTTTTATCATCTTTGTGTGCACATGTGGAGGGTAATGCTGCTGGTAGAGGGAGACTGCAAATGACATGTGTCCAATGCTGCTTACATCTGTGGCTGAGTTGGGGATGAACGTCTGACCAGGGCTGAAAAATGAAGGGTCAGGAAAAGACCTATACACCTGTTTGTGAACAGGATGTGCTAAGTTGTGCTGTACAATTGCTCAGGTAATTATTAATAAAATAATAGTAGAGTTAGGGACTGACTACCACTTTACTACCACTAGATCTAGGGCAGGGGTCAGCAACCTGCGGCTCTGGAGCCGCATGTGGCTCTTTCATCCCTCTGCTGCGGCTCCCTGTCCCGGTGTTCAGTCCTGAAACAGCTGTTCGGTCCTGAAATGCAACTAAACACCAACTTGCACATTTCAGAACCGAACAGCTGTTCCAAGGCAGATCAGTTCTCCTGCACATACAATTTGCGATGCCGATCTGCCCTGGAACAACTAAGAAAGCATTGAAATGCTTGACCTGTTGGCGGTCACACATTCCACCGCCAAAAAACTGGGCGGGATTTCATTGAAATGTGAGACCACGTCACCGGTCACACATTGTAACGTAGTCACAAACTTTGATGGAACACCGCCATCAGGGTGGTACGGCCGGTACCCATGTGAGGGGTCTGGGCAGCCTGGGGGGTGTAATACTTCCGGGTTCGGATCCACAAGCCAACTGCCAGAGTGGAACGCATCGGCCGTAGGCAGTTCAGGGCGCCTCCTCCCCCTGGCCGGGTATCGCTATGCGTTCCAGGGTGGAACGCGGAAGTGACGTCACGCCGCGAGGCTCCTCTTCCACGTTCCACCAGTATATAAAGTGGCCTCTGAACCCATGGACGGCGTTCCACTATTGGGTTCATGGCCCAACACCCCAGGAGCTACCCAGCATTGCAGCAACCAGCCTCCCACCGGGACCGCTCACCCCCACTGCACGGAAGCCTCTCCAGGACACCACAGGATCTACCGGACCAAGGGGTTCTATCCCCTCAACTGCAAGTATCTGCATTATATCAGACTGTGTTACTTAGGAGTGTCTCTCCACTGCCACCTGGTGGAGGCTCGAGATACATGCCTCACTATCTTTTATGCTAATAGTCTATAACTGGATTGCTACTACTGATATTGCACCACTCACCTAACAGACTGCCTTAGTACTTACCTGCTCCTCAGTATCATTCCCATTTATGATGTTTATAGGAATATGAAATAATATTCCACAGATGTAGTGCATCCTGCCTTTTGTTATTTCCTTTCCGCGGTATATGATTTCTAGATCCCAAACTCTCCGTTTGAGATTGAGAGAGCCGCCTGGGATTTAAGCCTGACACCGCATATTCAACCATCGGTTAGAACCGCAGCTGTGGTCCAAACTCACCTCCCTGAAATACGGTGCATGACAGGGGGCCTCTTACATGAGTATCAGCTGTACCAGGGGCGGCATGGCAGAGGTGACAGGGGAGGGGGTGGAGGAGGCCGGGCCCCAGCAGCAGCAGCAGGTAAGAGGTGTTGGGAGGAGGTACAGGGAAAGGGACCCCGGAGGCCCTGCAGAGCCCACTATAGAGAGTCTCAGATGGGCTGTGCAGGATCTATGGTGTGCTCTGCAGGGTCATTATCAGGTGGGCTCTGCGGGGTCTCGGGTAAGCCCAGTACGTTACAAAGCCCAGAGTCCAGTGCGTTACTAAGCCCAGAGTCCAGTATGCTACTAAGCCCACTTATACCTATATATATATATATATGCTATACATAGCATAAAGGTAAAAAACTATATATGCAGTGTTATCTTCATTATAGATGTCAAAAGGGTTTTGTGGCTCCAGGTGTTTTCTTTTCTGTGGGAAACGGGTCCGAATGGCTCTTTAAGTGCTTAAGGTTGCTGACCCCTGATCTAGGGGATGACCACCATAATATCAGTAGAAGTGACCATCGTTATTATATTACTAAAGTTTCTCATCACTAGTTTCTCATTCCAAGGAGTTTCTCATCACTAGTTTATTACAGTAGAAAGGGAATCATCAATACTATATCACCACAACTCATGCTAGAATTCCCCCAACAAGGCCCATCATCACTTCACAATTTACCTTCCCAGATTGCCAGTGGAACAGGATGGGTAACATCAAGCTGTTGCTCTTCCCGGCTTCGTTTTTGTGTTGAGCAGTGTTGTCCTCTTTTTTGTCAGGAATCTCTCTTAACTTATTTATTAAAGTAAAATTGTTGATCTAGAAGAAATGATAACATTTGGTGGAAGTTACTTTACAAACTAGAGTTTTATGTAAGTACACTTTATGAAATTGTATTGTTACAGCACCTGATTCATCGGCCATGCTTTATTGGCATACATCAATGCATAGTGTACATTATTCAAGGAGAAAATAATGCATGGGTTTTAACAAACATTATCCCAGGTTCATGCCTGTTTCTGTTCTGGAGACATTACTAGCACTTTTTCCTATGGACTGATAACATTTAGCAGAGAGAATCAGGTAATTGCAAAGCTTGTCGAACAATGGATCAATCCAGCCACATGTCTGTTTTCTGTAATCATCTGTATAGTACAAGTGAGGAACGACATTACTTTTTCTAGCAGACATATGGCAGTTGTGAAAATATTTTTTTGTGAAGATAATACTTGTATGAATGTACGTACAATGGCGTACGTACAATCATTAAAGTGGGTGAATTGGCCATTTTGGATAATGAGGAATAAATGCTTAGTGGAATAGTGCTGCAAATAGAGACACCTATAATCTATCACAAGATGTTTAATATTGCCTCTGTAGGGAAATGGTCATTGGTCAGTTGGTTTAGTTGGGTTGCCAGAGGCAGGGTCCATTAGTAGGAATGCAACTTAAAGTTGGTCACATTTGGCTTGTGCAAGTAGAATTTTTGTTTTGTAAGTCAACTGATATTAGCCAAGTGTGTACTTTTATTTACTAAGCGGATCTGCTCAAGGCCAGATAATCAGCATCTTCAGATTGTCTTCTACACACTACTACTCTTACATAATGTCATATCTGGATAAGAATGATTGAACAAGGTGATGATTATCTTATGTCTATTGTTATCTTCTAATTTATAATTAGTATCAGTCTCAGGAGTTTTGTTACATTCCTGATATTTAAAGAGGACTATGGGAGTATGTCCACAGAGCAAGCCAGAGCCAAATGACTAGTCTGAAGTATTGCCCATAGTCTTCCTGCAGCTCATCTTTCTACAATTACTGACTTACCATACCATGTTACTTACCATGTCTCAGTGTGGTAAAGGCCATCCTAGTAGAGGAGTAGGGCTATGCTTCCTTGTATGAGTGCTGCCCCCCTCCCCCTTAATGGCTATCTTGGCAGAGAAGTAGTGATTTGCTTTCTCATGTCAGAGCTGCACCCATGTCCCCCTTGATGGCTGGTGATCATTTAAATAGTGGAGGAATATTAAAGAGGCAGTAGAAGAGGTGCAGAAAAAAACAAATCAAAAGAATAAATTAAGCACACAGAGCATGGAGTGAAGGGCAGGAAACATAATGTTCAATAAGAAAATGTTTTGTCTTAAGACATAAATAAACTGAAACATAAGGATAAGAAAAAGTGTGGGATTTCAGTTAGGATGTATTGCTTCTCTCGTGTTTCTTTTGGTAAATAATTTGTGTGTGCTGGAACACTAATTAAATTTTATACCTGAACATGTACTAGTTGCTCCTCTGGTTGGGCCTGGTTCCTCCATAGAAGATGCGTCTCCACATTGGCATGAACCTGTAGCCAGGTTTGTGGTATTGATGATCGGGCAGCATTTGCAACTTGTAAATCCAGTATGTATTCATACTGGTACGATGTTTGTGGATTAAAGGATGGAACCCCTGAAGATCCTGTGGCAAAAGACATTAAGTAATCTTGTTTTCTTTTTTTATATACATTGCTACAAATATGACATATAATAATATAATTTTTGACTCTTTTTTGCAAACTATTCTTAATGTACACATCTTCTATTTTGGATATATTTTTATTAAAACAAATAATATGTGTAGTATTATTTAAAAGCTTATCTCTGAGAAAAAAAAAATTCCCCTTACAGTGGAGCTGTCCATAAGGGTTAAATGCACATTTAGGTCTAGGGTACCTGGGTACAGCAGTTTTTCATACTTAATCCCGCCCCCTTGGCAGTCGGCGCTCACCTTGACTCCACTATGCTCCAGCTTGTGGACTGTCCCTTGCTGTCCTCAGCTATAATGCATGGCTATGTCCCCTGCATTTTAATTGATGATGTACATGGGCCTCTGAGCACTAGAGCATAGGGGGGAAGAGGCTGCGGGTCTTGGTGTCCCTTTGTGGCTACGCTCAATTTTCCACTGTATCTATGAAGAGAGCCATGGTTGTCACACTGGCTGGAGTTACATGATGTTTTGATGGGATGAGTAGAACACTGCATTTCTGGTAAGATTACAAGGTATTTTCTGTAATTGCTGCAAATCTTCTGTTACCAAAGCAGCTTCTTCATTATTTGTGCATCCCCAGATATTTACTCCACAACTGCAAAGCCTACTGACTGAAAGGATATCACGGAAATGCAATTTTACATGTTGTGGAATGGTAAAGCTCTAAGTGAGAGTCTACCTTTTAATTTAGGAGAGCTTTGGCCTATTCTATGTTAAATTTCCACTTATGCAGAAAAACATTTTGCATAAATTGTTAGCATAATTTTAAGGTCGGCTTTACATCTTTGGGATTTTTTATTTATTTTATTTTATTGTTAAATATTTTTATGGGACTTTTTTTTACTTTTTAATATGCATGGAGATATCTTGTGTGAACTTTTTACATGCTTAAAAACCTCAACAACCTTCCTTCTAAGGTTCTTTGGCATCTGTGTGGGTCAGATTAAATTGTAAATTGTACTACAATGTAATTCTACTATGAAGAACATACACAGCAAGCAGGGGCGTAACTAGAAATCCCAGGGCCCCATAGCAAAATTTTGTAAGCAGCCCCCCACACAACGAAACCCCCACCCCCATTTTAATAGAAATGCACTGATCAGCATGTTTTTAATTGCGTTTCAGCACTGAAACACGACTAAAAACAGCCATTGAGAAATTCATGAATGAACAGGAGGTGATGTAAATCACCTCCTTTTCATTCATAGCTGGGGACACATAGTACTATGTGTCCCCAGTTATTTACAAACACTGGAGTGATCACACGATCACTCCAGTGTTTGTGCTGCACACGGAGGATTGGTAAATATCAATGATACTGATACTGATCAATGATCCTCTGCTCGGTCACGCACACAGCCGCTGTCCTCCTGTCAGTCTCAGGATGGCAGCGCACTCCTCCGTCCATTTTTTTCGGATTCCCGCTGCCTCAGCCCATACAAGCGGGGGAGAGCAGAGGGGATTCGGGCCCCCCCAGTGCCGCGGGCCCCATAGCGACCGCATCAGTCGCTATGGTGGTAGTTCCGCCACTGACAGCAGGGCAATGCAAACCTGCAAATGATTTAAGGCCCTTTACAGACCTTGGACTCTGGGTGCATTATATCAAAGCATGTGTAATAGTGTGCGTTTTTTCACATGTTAACATTCATTGAGTGAAGGCATCCCCGTTCAAATGAATAGGCTAGTAATGCACCAAAACATCCAACAGAACGGACATTCACCATTTTTGTCAGCATAATGCACCACAATGCATGGTAGTTTTTTTTTATTATTAATATGTTGTGCATTGAGGCACCTCATTTTGTTTACATGCTAATGCACTTCACATGCTTTCGTGTGCATTGCAGTAATACGGGCATTACTGCAATGCACCTTACCTGACCAGAAAAGTATGAATGGGCCCATGTTCACAAAACTTTTTTATCAATGGCCATTCACAATTGGTTCATTACAGATGTTGTATTGTACGGTGCTGTTGGTAGCGTTTGTTATATATGAAATTGTTTTGGGGAAAGTCATATGTATATCTGTCACCTCATTATAATACATTAACGTAGCATCAGATAATTTTCTTTCTTTGAAAATACTGTACTCTACTTTATGTACTCTACTTAATGTTATCAGCTCACAAGATTTCTAGCAGGTTTAATGGGTATTTTTGCTCTTATTGAACAGAGATAACATACCACTTTTAATTGTATAGTTAACACACAAAAAGAGATCAAATAAGACAGGGTTAATTGGTAGGTTTTATATACACTTTAATTTCTTCATTTGTGTGATTTTTTTCCCCACTGTACTTGCTAGTACTACCTGTATACGCTTATTTTCTTTCCTATTCATTTAAATTGAAATCATAACTGCAAAAGATTTCCATTAATCTGATTTTTACTGCATGCTGTAAAAGATTAAACAGAAGTAATTATTTACCACGTTTGGTACAAACCTGCCTTGGAAGCAATTTTCTAACCTGTGCAGTCAATTTCCTTTTTAGTTTGACTGTAGGAAAATTGTAGATGTGATTGATTCTTGTCTTCAATTATTCATTTTTCAGAGACAAGACTGAACTGAACAGTATTGCCAATATGGTGTGTGTAAAGTCCCTTCACTGAAAGCAAACAAAGGATGGTAGTGAAGGAAGAAATGGGAAAGGGTGGTGAATGAGGAAGATGGAAGTTGATGGTGGAGTAGAAATTGGAGCCAGTGGTGGAGAGGATGGAATGTGATGGTGGTTGTGGTGAAGTAATAACAATTAATGGAGTGTTAGTGGTGGGAGTTAAAAGGGGACACTGATGGAAGCTGACGGTGATGATAATGCATTGGCATCTCATCTTGGGGGATGCAGGACATGTGATAAAAATCAAATGGGAGGTCGGAAACTGAGACTTGGAAGCTTGAAAATGTAGGAGAAGATGGGTATGGTTTTGAGTGCTACAAACTGTTCAGGCTCAAGTAATGGAAATTTAAATCTCCTCCCATGTATATTCTAGCTTTTTCCTCCCCTCCTTGCCTCAACCTGTGATAGAGGTACTTAGGGAGGCTCTTTAAAGCCCAACTCCGAGCATAATACCCTTACCAGGGTTAAAGCTGCAGCCCTGCCAAGGGGCAGGAGCTGTATGGGCTGGGCATTTTCAGCTTCACCACAGCATGTCTGTCTGTCTCAAGCAGGAAGGAAGGAGGTACCTGACTGGCTGCATTTGGTGGATAGACTTTAGCCTTGCCTGCTGATGCCAGGAACGAGTGTCTTCAGTGCAGGAGTGACATTTTGTTTGAGACAAGAGGAGGTCATAAGAGGAGGAGAGCCCATGCTCCCAATTGAGGGAGGAGTTATGAGGGGACCTATGTGTGGAGCAGACTATGTAGTGGACTTTGCTGTCACGAGCCAAAAAAATGGGAGGGTGGCAGATTGGCCATTGGGGGATTACAACCCTCCTTAACTTTCCTATACTCACCTTACCAGTAATTCCTCACTACTCCTCTTCAGATAGCACTGAAATTACTGGTTTTGGCCACTCTGGTGAGCAATAGTGTCAAAGCACTTTCACAGGGGAGTAGGTCACATGCTCCTCCAAACCTGAATGTAGTGTGTATTCTGGGGATATGCAGAGAAGAAAGGAACAGCAAGGAATCACAAGTAAGATGAATACAAGGGGGTTGGGAGGGCTTTTAAAAACACTGTCACTTTACTCTGCATGAGCAAGATGACTGTGCCCCTTTCAGGCAGTTGTCTAATTGGTTAAGGCCAATTAAAGAATTGAGCTGATTTACAAAAAGTGTTGGAAAGAAAACTAGAGCACAAAAGTGAGCAATTGCTATACAAGTGAATCAGTTATTTTTTTTATTTCTTTGAACTATAGCAGTTGCCATAATTTTCAGTGGGAAGTTACTGTTTAAATTATGCAAAATCTGCATTGCATGTCATGGAAATCAATGCTGATGTAAATTAAGAACCCTTATAATTAGTATTTCTGCACTGAAACACAACTTGTGACTTAGGTTTGGTTCACACCTGTACGTTTTGTAGCGCGTTCAACGCTCTACGAACGCTCTACAAAACGCTCAAACATGAAAATCCCATTGTTTTCTATGGGTATGGTTCACACCTTGCCGTATTTCAGCCCGTCTGAACGCGCTACAAAACGGCCTACGCCTGAAAAGGTACATGAGCTTCTTTGCAGCGTTTTTGTAGCGCGTTTCCACTGGGATACAGCCAAGTATCCCTCGGAAACGCGCGTTTGTCGCACGTTTTTTACCGCGAATTGCGGTAAAAACGCGTGTCACGAAACGTGCGACAAACGCGCATATTCGATACGCCTAGGTGTGAACAGAGCCTTAGAAATAAAAACCTATAAGCAGGCCCTTGTGTAAAAACAATTGAGACATGCTGTTTTGGGGCCTTTGATCACCCCTGTTATAGCATCATGACAGGCTCAAAAGTGTGTTTCTACTTTTGCAGTCAAAATTTGAGAAAACTCCACTATATGTTTGTTATGTGTTCCCATTCACACAGTATATCTAAAAATCAGTTTAAAAGAATATTTCTTGCCTTTTAGATGATCCTTTGGAGAGGGCATATAAGCAAACCGCAAGATTTTAATTCATTGTCAGTCTGTCCCTGGGGAAACACGGACCTCTTCTCATTAACATACAAAGCAGAGACCAGGCTTCTAATTATTCAACCCTTTGTCAGGGCAGAAAGTGATCAAATCTAGTTTACAACTGATAATGAGATCTACCAGCAGAGACAGAGTTAATTATAGTAAACATTAACTCTACACCTCCATCCTCGAAATTGCAGTTTTTAAATATTTTTTTTAAAGTTATGCTGAGCAAACAGGAACACGTATATATATATATATATTTATATAGATATATATATAGATAGATATCTATATATAAAAAATGTTATCTAAATATGGCCACAAAAGTGGAAAAACACTATAAAATATATCTAAACTTTAAACTTTTTTATAATTCCAATTAGAGTAGGGACTAGTTTGAACCGCTTTTTTCTATATGTGTCCCATTGGTAAGATTTCCCTTTGCTTCATGCCCTAGAGACACAGCAGGAAGAGTGAGGAAATATCTCAAAGTAAAGGTGCCCATACACTGCACAATTCTCGTACGAGAATCGCGGGGAAATCCCGCAATCGTACGAGAATCGTACAGTGTATTGAAGGCTTGCGACCGTTTCTGGTCGCACGACTTTTGTATTTCGAGCATGTTGGAAAACCAGCTGAGAATCGTACGATTTTCGGCTGGTTTTTAACATGATTGTGAGATGACTGCTGAACGGGCCGGTGTGCGCACGCGCACACTGCCCATTCATCATTGCAGTCATCGGAAGTACGCATCGGAAGATCGCATGTACGATCTGCCTGTCCAAGATGGGCAGATCGTACGTTTTTTTAAAGTACTTTACAACCCTCGCAAGACAAAAGTCTTGCGAGGGTTGTAAAGTGTATGGCCACCTTAAGGGTAAATTTCCATTTAGCTGTCACTGAAACAGGTGTCCCTATTTGGAAATTTACTCTCTATTTCGAATTCAGTGACGGCTTATAACTTTATAACTTTATGTGCCAGTGACAACGGTCACCAGGGCAAATAGAAAGGGTAAATTTTCCCACCAGTAATATCGACACCATTAACTTGGTGTCTATATTGTGTTAAGAGAAACGAACAAACATTCTGAAAATTAGTGTTTTTGAACAGAATTCTACTGGTGTAAAGATTCAGAGCAGGAAGTTTGTGACTTACCCAGCCTAACCAAGCAGAGGAGGATAAGGAATATAGGCAGCATTCTCCCTGGGGCTAGATTAAACAGGTCTCCTGAGAATGTCAGAATAGGTGTCTCAGCTCTCACACACTCTCCTTATATATGTATAGCGAAGTCTCATTCAGACTGCTGCCATGTCTGAGCAGGGAATAGTCAGAGATGTTCCCAGGATCACTTGTCACTGGCATTGAGGTCTGTCCCGGACAGGAGAAAGGAGACAATCTGTAGATACAGGTCATTTTCTAGTTTCTGCTTTTCCTGCCCTTATTAATCATTGATCAGATCCATGGAGACTCTTAGCAGAAAAGTTTGGTTTGTGAAGTGAAAGGGCTTTTAAACTCCTCCTAGGTTTCCTCACTGTACTGTATAGCCTTTCCTCCACCCTTGTTCTTCTTTCAGTAGATGTGATGGGTGACTTGTGGCACAGAGATTGCAGGAATCTAAACAAACTTGTCATGAATTCCTTCCTTCTCATTCTTTATGCTCCAGGTTCTACAGAAATCTGCTTGTTCTATCTTATATACTTAATATATACTTAATATACTTAATATAATAT